TCAGGTTGGGTGTTCGCCCGCCCGCCGAAGTTCGTGGGAAGCTGAAATGCTGGCAACGGGAACCTCCCTCCACCGGGTTTTCTCCTCACCCTCTCCGCGCAAGTCGCGCAAATCGCGCAATCGTGCCTGAGGCTCAGCGAGCTTTATGCGCGTGGGCTCATGGCCGGGGCACTTGGGGGCGGTGCCTCGAAGAGTTGGAACCACCTGAAAAGTGGGTGGACATGCATTCCCATCATGTCCACCAAAGGGTCCACGGACACCCCGGCGCCCTGGCTGTCCATGCGGTTTGAGCTCAAAACTCGACCCAAGTCCCACTTGGGCAAGCTAAACCTTTTGGCAGCGTGCAGCAGGAACCTGATGAGAAAGCAGTGGCGTTGGACACGGACGATTTCCTGACGCAGCAGACGTGTCGCACACGTTTGCATACATATGTGTAGGCATATTGCCACAGACGCTCCCAGCACCACACATGTGTGTTTACGCGTCGCAGTTGGACACCTTTAGCTGCTAGGGTTGCAAGGATCATCAGCAAGCATTGCAACTCAGGACTTTTGAAGCCAGCCCAGCTAGCAGGAACCACAACCATCCCGAACCATGGCACAACCGTTGTTTATTTTGGATGTTATTAGAAATTCTATCTTCTTTTTGCGGAAGGGGGGGGGGGCGGTTGGCTTGGTTGTTCCCCACATGCAGTATCAGTGTGAACAACACGCATTAAACAAACATGCTATGATGGAACACCCATAGCCTGCAATGGCACACCGAGTCAGGTCCTTACCCACTTCACGGCATCATAATCAGGAAAACAATGGCCTATCGGCTATGTCCCTTTTTAGGTTAGTTTGGTTAAACATAGATGGCACTGGTTTAGATTGGTTTATTGCATCTACCATGGCCATCTATTTTGCCAAAAGCTCGCCTATGCTTTTGACACACTTCGGATTCGTTCAAAGTGGCCCATTGAATGCGGCGTGGTCAATCTTTGCAGTCACTGGGCGTTGAGAAGAACTGTCGGCAGCGGAAAGTTTGGTCGAAGCCGGCTTTTGTTCCCGTGGAGCTTTGGACCGACGGCCTAGCGTTGTTGCTTGGTTCATGAGATAGCCAGGCACTGCATCCAGGCAAGTAAACAAAGATTTAGTAAGCCCTTGTGCTTATCTGCTTGGAACCACATTTGGTTGGATCCCTTCATGGCGACACGTGAAAGATGATTTGGGAACACACAACTTCGACTATCTTGAGAACAGCAAATCACACAAAGTAAGCCATGCAAAGCAAGACAAGCAAATTTAAACCTTTTTCTCTGCAGGTACTCACATCGAATGACAGCCAGCTCGTAATTCGAGATCATGCAAGTAATAATGGTGGTTGGCATATACTGTCTGAGCGCTTTGTTCACCGCACTCCACAGAATTGGCAAAAGCCATATAGTTGGCTTTGGAACTTTACACCAATAATCAACCAGTCCAGGTCCACCCAAAGCGCCCAACTTTGAGCGAATCTATTGCAGCACTTGCAGCAATAGGAAGCGAGTGTTCTTTGAGGGATGCATGCCTGCATTCTCATGCCTTGTGAAAAAGTGGATTGAGTTAGATACCACTTCCAGCGTGGACCATTTTTCAGTTTTGCTCTCCCTGCGATGCAACGTCGGTACCCGATTAGTCAAAGGGTACCGAATACAATAAGGTGTTTCCAATCTTATTCTCTACCCCAAACATGAACATGACCTAATATAATGTATTGTTTGTTGCTCGGAAACAAGTCTGACTTAATTCGGGCAAAACAAGTCGTCATTTTGTCCAAAGTTTATTTGTCCGGAGCCGACACCAATCCCCCCAAACTGCCGATGTTCTCACAAATCCTTTATACAAACAACAAATTTCCGAAGTGCTTTGAGGGTCTGGATGCCTTCTCAAAGAAAGAACACGGGACACAAATTGAGGGTCACAGAGCCTTCTCTAATGGAGCAGTGTCTCCTAACTGACGTTGACCGCGAACTGGTAACTTACCAGCAGGCTGGCCATTCACCGATTGACCAAAGTCTTGAGAAGGCACGGTTTTCTGGGTCCAGAGGAGGCGTCCAGAGTGTCGAGTGATAGTACATGGCCACCCCAAACACTCAATAGTAGATCTACACAACTGTGCAACCGTCACTCCGCCCCTGCCCTATAGTAGTTCCCATCTCTCTTATTGTCCACTAGTTCTTGCTTCTGAGCACTAAGAACCTCAGAATATCTCTGCAAACAACACCCATCTCCGAATCCGCTGAAGTCCTTACATCTTCTTTATATACAAGTGCTCAGCCGACAAATTCCCAATGGGGTAGTACGAGGCTACCCCAAATTCCAAATAGTAGAAATGAACAAGGGGTATTAAATTGTGCAACCGTCTCTCTGCCCCTGCCCTATAGTAATTTCCATGTCTCTTCTTGCCCAATCGTGCAACGCTCTAACCCAATACAAGCGAATACTAAGCTAGTACTAAGGCAAAAACTGTACCAACGCAGCATAAAGCAATACTAATCATTACTAAACGAATTCTCAGCAGTACTTGGCCAGCTCAAAGGAATACTCAGACTCAAAGCCAGTACCGTAGAGAGGACCTACGAGAATCGAAGACAGCCGAAGCAATACTAAGCCAATACGAAACTACTACAAATCAATACTAAGCCAGTACCAAGCCAGCACGAAGCTACACTAAACAGTTCGAACCAATACTAAGCCAGTAAAGCAGCAGAAAGCAAAGCAAGACTAAACCAATGCTAAATCAATGCTTACTAGCTCATAGCAGGCCAGTACTAAACTTGGGAAACGCCCATTTGACCCCTGAATTGTTTTACCGGCTTTCTCTATTGAGTTCCCAACATTTTTGTTTGGGTGGGCCTCCCCCTTTATTAGTCAGTGACCCACGTTACATCCGCCAACGGGGAAGGTCAAGATAGCAAGCCTCAAGGACGCCTATTATTTTCTCGGTTTGTTGATGGACGGACTGGTGGGCTACAAGCATTTCCGCGCAACTCTTATTTCAAGGGTGTCGCCGAAGACAAAAGCGATTTCGGTACGGCCCAGGTTCAAGTGAGCCTGCAAGAGAAGGACGTGAAAGCGGCCAAAGAGCATCTCAAGGATGTTCAGGCGAGCCTGATTTGGATTTCGCAAGCACCTGCGGGGCTGGCAGAAATCGAGGAACCCTTGTTTGTCGTGCCAGGACCGCTGCTTTCATGTTGCGCCTGTCGCCATGCTCAACCCTAGCGTCAGGTTCCGTGGACATGTGACTTGCGATTGCGTTTAGGCGAGGCGTCCGAGTTTTCCTTGGCGAAGTTGATCATGTTTTGTTTTCTCAACACAGGCATATGACTACGAGCTGCCCTGAGACTCCGTACTGAAAAAAAGGAGCGATGGTGTTCAGTTGGACGAGATTGGCTCAGAGAGTCTCATTCTTTGCTGTTTTTTGCTGGTCTATCCTGGCCAACCGCAAATCAAACGCAAGTTGTTGTACGAAATTGCGCCCACTGGCCGGCGATTCATGTGCATTCGCGAGCAAGACAACAGTACGCTAACCATGCAATGCAGGGATCCTTCGCATTTGGGGAGGGGTGAATATTCCTGGCCCCCCAGAGGGTAACTTGTCCCATTCAGCGGGACGTATCAAATCTAGTGGTTTCGCCAGTGGTCATCCGCATAGGTGTCCTTTTTGCTTGGTGTGGTTGAAAAATAGAGGGTGATTCCTGGTTTACCTGGTGGTTCAATCATCTACCAGGGCCATTCATTTTCCCAAAAAGACACCTATGGTCCTCCGTTGCATTTGGCCAACATCGAAGCCGTCCGCGCAGGGCCTGGCTGAAGAGCTCGGAGATCCCCAAGGCGAGAGGGGTGGGGGTGGCACTGGGAAAGAGGCATGGGGCCTGGTTCGAATGTGGGCGTGTCCCGTGTTTTTGGGATTTGGGCCCCGCCCAAAATGGCAGTCTTGAATGTTGGTTTCCCTTTGAAACCCACCCAAAAAGGGGTACCTTCAAAAAAAGACAGACCCGTGGGTCAAACAGGAGCAGAGTATATGGGTAAGCAAATTCTTGGACAGACGCTCCATGTAGGAATTCTTACAGCTGTGACAGCAAACGTTCTGAACAGGTGTTGCAGTTCATTCTGCATCAAGCAGGAAACCATTCGAAGTAGACAGACAGGCCTTCAGATGAGGTGTCTTCTTGTCCCAACACCCTTAATTTCTGCACCGCTTTCACGTTTTGTCGCTTCGAATTCTGAGCACTGTTTGGCGCTGCAGGCAAGCCTCAGTACAGGGCTCGGGGGTTTGGGTTCTGGCTTTTCCGCGAACCGCTGGACATCTAGGACAATCGGGGAGGACCATGAGCCGAATTTGTTCCCAGAGATTTACGCAACTGAACACCACCCCAAAATGCCCTTCAGCCGAAGGCACCACGCGCGGATTCGGCCATGGGGAAATCGCCTCACCTATGAGGTCCCCTAGCCCAACGCGCGCGAACCGAAAACAAGCCAGCTTTGGTTGCCCAAGGGAAAACGAACAGTCCTTAGGGGTGAGGCCGCCGAACCGTCCCCACGTCGCTTCCCGTTCGACGATTCGACTTGCTGCCAGCCAAAGCTATGGCGGATCAGCTCAAGGACCTCGTCATGGGCTGCAGCCCTAGCCTTCGCCCTGTGGTAATGCTCACTCAAGTGGCTGGGTGGAAAGGGAAGCCATGGGTTCCCAGATCGCTGCGACCTTTGATTTGCTCTTCTGGTCCCAGGTGTTGTGTTTTGACAAAAATTTGGACACCAAAACTCCCTCTTTGAGGGGAAAAGCACGGGGCGAGGCTCTAGTGAAAAGGGCCTTCCAGGGCTCGGAGGGTTGCCCAAGGGGTCCTTCCGGCGACGTTTCACACGGGCCAGTGACCAGTGTATTTTTGGTACCTTGGAGATTCCAGTGGCTAATGGGTACCAGGCATCGCAGCAAATCCTCCAATCCCTGGCAAGGGGTCCAGACATCTTCGTGCGAAAAGTCGCGGGGTTTTGGTCCGGAGGCTTGATCTCTTCCGCGAAAGAAACTCTCAGGTTCTGGCGCGCAAGAGGCAGCGCCGCAGCAGGTGGGCGTCTTTTGGACTTGTGGCTTGCTTCTATGGAGATGGAGGTGTCTTTCAGGATTTGGACCCCCCAAATTGGATACCCTCAAATGTTTAATGAACAAACGTTCAGACAGAGCAGCGTTTATCAGGTGGTTGGCGAAAAACCCTTCTGAGGGCTCGCTGATATGGCCCGACTTTGCTCCACGTGTGCCGCCTTCAATGCCTCGAGAAACACGAAAGCAAGACAAAGGTTGGGCTGTCGGAGAATATGGCAGCTGTTTCCTTCAACGCAGCCAGCTTGAAATTCGTTGGATGGCCTCTGTCCAATTTTGTGGTCCATATTGCTTGAGGTTGTGCGCGTGCCATTTGGGCTTTGGAGGTACCAGTCTAAAACAATTCATCAGGATGTGTGCTTCCATTCGCCCGTTCTTGTTGTAATGCCGCCAAACGTCGGATATTGCTGCAGGTTTTTCGTGGACCTTCTCGAGCCAGTTTTTTTCTTGCATGATCCGTTGACTCTCCCTGCTTCACGGTGCGTGGATGACACACACTCAGTGTTACCTCGAGCTTCTCTGCAACAATAATATAATATGGACCAGTGACCAGTGTAAGTTTTCTCCGGCGAGGTGTCCATTACAGTCTATGTTTTCATATACGGGCGCATCCAGGTTCTTGTTGAGGAGATGTTTCCATTGCCAGCCTTATGCAAGGACACTCCCCAGCCTCGCACTGTAAAGCAAGGGTGGGGGTCACAGCCATTCGGCGCCATCTCCGGTTCGGAGTGGGATAAAGGACGCAAATCCAATCGAGAAGGCTATCCCATAGCCAGGCTGCTGCTGTGGCAGCGCCCATTCAGGACAGGGAGTGGCTGGATCCAAGGAAGCTCGATCTCAATCTGTTCAGCTGTTTGTACCTCATAGGGACCACCTGAGCCGCTTTCATGAAATGCGGACAGTCATGCTCCGGGCAAGTTTCTTTGCCTTTGGTTTGTTAATACAAAAGTGGTCGCGTGGTTTGAGGTGCTTCAGTTGGTTCTCGAAGGTGTGGTGTTTCTGGCGTAGAGTACCGCATTTGTTTTTTTTGGCTGGGAACAAACACCCTGAAACAAATATATTTTCGCCAGCTTGAGATATGTCTGGAATTCACGCCTAGGATGTACTTTAATGATTGCCCCAGATCAACCCACCCCCCCTCTCCTAAAGGTTGGCACGGTCCAGCCCCCGTATTCATTTGTTCGTCACCGGTCCTCCCGTTTTGCTGTGGGAAGCGCAAGAAGAAAGCAAAAGAAAGCACCGACAGAAGGATTGGCAATGGATTTGCAATTTCATATTTTTTTGGGGGGGGATTTGGGGGAGGCGGACGGACAGTCTTTAATTGCGGGGGGTGCCAAGAAAGTATAAGTTCTATATTTGGCCAAGCGTTGTGGCCTTAAAAATACTCTTGGCTGGCAGTCGCCAGGAAGAAGGACAGTCCTGAATAAGGAGGTTTAGTGGTCGATATTGCTGGCTGACTGACCCAACAAGCAGGTTACTGACTTGGTTTCAGGCTTGGCAAAGCCAAGAGCTTGTTAGACCTCGATTGTTGGCTTTGGAGCCTATCGGCAAATGCGGAAGATTGGATCCGAGGATGAAAGACCGATCGGCAGCGGACTGACGCTGATTCTTCTTGGATGCCCTTTGATCGACTAGGGAAGATCCAGGCTGTATTTTTTTGCCCCGATTACCCCCTAAACCAACCTCCCGGCGGCACGTCAAACAAATACATGCCCAGGTGGTGTCCTCATGTCGCTCTAACAGCTCGCCCGCTTTCTTCGGACTGGAAAACCGCAGGAGGCTGGCGCGGCCTCCTCCGCTGCAGCCGGCGAGGTGGCGGGGGCCTTGATGTTTGCATCGGGTGCCGATGCACACGAGACAAACCACGCACCTGGTGCTACATGCCCCTTTTGCAGAACCCTGGTTATGAAACCCTAGAACGCATGCTGTTCCCTACCTGGGGGGGGGTAACCTTTGGGTTCTTCTATGTTCTTCTAAGGGAGCCCTTGGGGCTATGTCTGCAAGGGCAACATGGCAAGATCGGTTGGCCTTCAAGGTCTCCACTCCACTGCTCAAGGTCCCAATGGGGATTTTTGGGAACTGTCATGAAACACTGGACCCCCTGTGTAGGACAACCCGCAATCCACGGAAGAAGTCCCAGAAGTGAGGGTCAGCCAAAAGCTATCAATGGGCAAGACATAGGCTGGACATATTGTTGTGCAACTAGGTTTCACCAAGATACAATTGTTGTCTAGTGTTGCAAAGCTCGTTGTTTGGAGTTTGGTGTTCCCAGGGTCTACAGTTGGTTGCACGTGTGATTTCCACAAGTAGTCCACAGTTGGGTACGGGCAGATCCAGTTTGAACGGAGCGTTGTGCTTGCTCATGCGGATTTTGTTTCAGTCTGCGGAACCATTTTCATCAGTTCCATGGACCGTGCCTTGCCATTGCGGTGCATATCCCCAAAGATGCAGCGCCCCAAAGCTCTACATTTCAGTCCGCGCGCCTCACAGATTCCCCAAGTTGACCCCAAGACCATACTCCAATCGACCATGCATTCACTATTTATGTTGTCCTTCTTTGCTCCTTGGTGTTTTCCAGGGGTATGGTGAGGAGCCCGCTGGTGCAACCTTTCACTACCCTATTTGATTTTCAACTGGCTCGTATTGCGTGTGTGAGAGAGGTGTGGCCAGTTGCGACTGAAGCAACAGCCAACACAAGAATAAGCACCTTGTCCCCGACCCGGATTCGATCTCCGATTACTGCGACGTCAACTAGGCACGACTTTTGGTAGTTTTGGGCCGCTGCTCGAATGCTCAGCTTGGACTGGGGCCCAGGTGCTTTCTTCTGTCTGTATTAGGATTCCTGGGATTGACCGGGTCTCTCAGGCAGGTAACTCTACTTGAAGCAATAGTCGTCTTTGTAGCAAGTTTTTGGGCGGTCATGTTTTTGGCCATCGAGATCCAAGAATTGCAAGGCACACGCGTTCTGTACATATATATTTTTTTTGTGTGAGTTGGCTGCTTCCCAGAAGGGATCTGCTTGGACTTCTTCAGCCACCCTGGTGTACCAAGCGCAAATCATGGGCGCTTCCCGTTTTGGTACGATCATGATGCATCGGAACTGGATGTCCAGTTTCAAACATGAGACGTCAAATCAGTCCTCTGACCTCCAAGAGGCTGAATCTTTGCTAGCTTTCGGTTTTGACGGCTGGATGGGGGTCAAAACCGTTTTGGATCCCATTTTGGGCAGGTGAATTCACCGCCCATTTCAGAACCTATTTTAGTGGGGATTGGGATGTTCACTGGGGGTACGGGATTCTGCCCCATGGCCTGGATGGTCCCCGTCGCCGGTTTTCCATTTGCACCTAGGACTTCATCGCGCCGGACCCCGGCCTCATGAAGCGAGGGTCTCCAGGGGATCGGGATGGGAAGTCCGGAAGTTTGGAATGCGAGACGAGTGCCCCCTGGACATTGGCCGTTTTGGGCCTTGAAAGAAACCGTTTGCTAGGAGGGCTCCGATTTCGCCTTTTGCCTTGGTGCGTTCAATTGCACGCTCGCGGCTCCATCAGATTGATTCGCCAATAGGTGAGGCCAGGAGGAGCAAAACATGAGTGCCTGGAAGAACTCCCTGTTGGTAGTGCGTGATCCCTGGTCGGGACAAGACCTCCAAGGACGTGGAGAATCTGAGTTTAGCTTGACCTTGTACCAGTTCCATTTGGGGTATGGGGATCAGAGGTAAGCTATCATCCACCAACACATTGCAGGCAGTCCAAAACTAGCGCCACTGACATGATCTACTCTTCGGGCTTTTATTGAATTAGAAATCTCTCTTTGAAGGTTGCTGCAGCGCTATTTGTATACAGACATCAGGCAATAGCTCTTTTGCAGCTCTCGTTGCTCTTCAGCACTTCCTTCCTCTTCAAAGTGGCTGGTCTTAGCATCCTTTACTGGTGTTAGCTTCCTTTGCTAAAGTCAGCTGTTACCAAAGATTGAAACTTGCCTCCATTGCCGGAATCAATTGTTGAAATTGCATCTGGATGCAGTTTGGTTCCACTATAATTGCGCATCGAACTTCATCACATGGCTTCGGCAATTCCCTTTTGCTTCAATGACTTCCTTTGAGCTGGTGTTCCCTCCAGTCGACTACCAAAACCGCACGAGTTAACCCCTCTTATCTTAGCGGTGTGTGAATGCGGCATGCCAGTCCTGGGTTTCCGTGCCGCAGCCCGCTTTTCCCAGAATGCATGCAGGTTTTATTGTAGTCAGACACTCAACCACAAGGTTGTCACGTTCCCGTCACTCCAGAATGTTTGACTCGTTCCTGCTGAGATGAGAATGCGGCCTTTTGGAACGGCATTGAGAGTCATAGAGGGAGGATACGGCGTCTCATCATTTTACCATGTGGGCGAGAGAGAGAGAGAGAGAGAGAGAGAAATACGTGTTATAAAGCGTTCATTAGCTAGACGTGTCCATTCTTTTTGGGGTTGACCAGAATTGGACGGCTGAGGAACCACATCATCGCCATGGTCAAGAACATGGTGGGCGGCGGCGACGACGTTGATGGTGACACTCCGCTCATGGAGCCGGGAGCCCGGTGCAGCTTAGACGACCTGGAAAGGCAAGCCCTCTCTCGGACAATATTTGGCCGGTAGACATGAGACCTGCCAAGTGGGTTCGCAGTCGGGTGCAAACACGCAATCAATGCTGCAAAGACGAGTTCCAAGAAGGCGCCAGTGTTGCCACCTCAAGAAGAAAGATGTTTGGCGGTTCTCTGTCCATTGTGTTCTTTTTTGTGGAAGCAGCGCCCACCAGCAAACGGCTAAAGAGGTCTTATCCATCTCAATTCCCATGACAGCCGGGCGGCTTGCGTGGCATCATCCTACGCCGGTCAGCCTTGACAGGTGTAGACTCACCGACGGAAGACCATCCATACATCGCTCTTGGCCGAAGCTTGCCTGCTCAACTTGGGCCAAGTTTTTGCGACGGTCAGGGACTTCCCATGGCAAGGTGGGTTTGCGCTTATCATGGCAATTCTTCACTTTGTTACCAAAGGAGCAGGCCACGTGCTGATTCTGCCTTGGAGCTGTTGGACGCTTGACGGCCGCAGAAGCAAGGGCTGTTGCTTGGCATTGCATTGCAGCCGCTCAATCGCAACAGACGGAGCAGGCCTAGGGCCTGAAGCTTCAGGGGTCCCCTAAGCCAAAGCTCTACTCCGACTTTTGCAACAGAGTCAGGTTTTGTTGGCGACAGAACAAGGATTAGAATCACACAGGCGCTGGGGCGCGCGCCCAACTCCACTCATCTCATCCACGGGCCCGACTTGATTGAGCCAGCGTTCTCCCCTCTGCTGGGAGTCCCTGCCCTTGAGGTCGGGTGTCGACAGCTTGGCTTCTGTGGAGCTGCGCACCCAGTTGCAACAGGCCCGCAGATTCGTCGGATTTCCGGGTGGGACGGAACGGTCTTTGGCAAGGACACATGACAAGCCGCTTGATGACATAAGCGGTATGTACTGAAACCAGTGACCTTCTTGGCTGAGATGGTGTGCAAGAGAACGAAAGGAACCCATGCAGCGATTTAGAGAGTCCAATAGCGATAACGGCTGAGTCACCAACTCAATAATTCACCACCTCTTGGAAAGAACCTCCAAACATGTCTGCGAAAACATAACACCAAAGCTATCCATCCATAGGATGCAGCTCATCCTTCCGCATTGCCCCGGCTGGTCAAAGGCCTATGTCTGAGCATGCAGGTTAGGCAACAACGGGTAGTTGCCACGAAATATTGATAGGCTGATAGGAGCCTTGTTGCGGTTGCAGACTTGCCTCTGGGTCGTTGCCGGCAGTATCTTCTCTTTCAAACAAGTCCGCCTTGTTTGCGGCAATCAGCGCAGGTCGGCGATTGGAGATACCTGTTAGCCAACCTCCTTGTGTGAGTAGGGGAGTGAACGACCACCCGTTTCGGGTTGTTTAAATGAAAGCATTCACATCGGGAACGCTTGCCTTTGAAAGGAGCCGCTTGGGAACTTGGTGTTACTCGAAAGAGACTTGGAATCCGGTCAAACAGAACTGCCCAAGCCAAGGCAGCAATGGGCGACCTGTTCGGATCTGTATGTTACGAGCAGCGGATGCAAGATGAAGGATAAGAAGCACATGCGCAAAAGCCTCAAAAGGCTAACTGAGTCTGCGTGATCGAATTGCCCAAGAAGCAAGCAGTGGTCCTTTGGCTCGGTTCGTTGGTTGTCACGTGTCTTGGATGAGCTGAAGCCAACAATTGGTGTGACACTCACATTTGAATGGCTCACCCGAGCTGCTCTAGCACAGAGTCCGCCTCATGTTTAGAGAGAACAGTCGGCAGTACCTTCCATCCCGATTGCAAAGGGAAGTTTGCGAAGTCATACGTCCGCCGAGATGAGAGGCTGGCAGCTTTTGGCATTGGATATCCGCGCCAGGAGTTCAAGGTGAATCTTCCCTCCACTGTGATGTTCAACTACCCGACCATCGAGGGCATCACCGGGCCCTCCGGCTGGGGCGAGGTGTGGAGGTCTGCTTTTGTTCCGCTTCAAAGGCACAAAACTGTTTGTAGGGGACCCTGACTCGCATCTCCATTTGCAGGCCCGTTTGTTCGGGGCGTTCAGTGAATGCAGATCTCCCAAGGGGTGCTTGGATAACTTTCTAGTTTGACACCTCGAGAAGTGCAGCCGTTGACATGCAACTTGGAGATCTACTTAGAATAGACACCCTGCGGCACGCTTCGCAGTAAGAGGCTTGGGTTCCAAGTCTTTGAATTGGGTCCGCAAGTTGTGAATGGTCCATTCTTCTTATACTGCAGGTGATGAGGATCGAGGAGTTACTGGTGCATTTGAATGTATGAGTACATGCATACATTTGTGCAGATATGTGCATGCTGCATGCTGACAATATGTTTGTGCATTGTGCTTCTATGCATCTATGTATTTGTTGATAAATGGATGGATGATAGGATGAATGCATGAACGGGATGGGCAGCAGAACATCGTTCTTTCCTTTACGTCCTAAATGAGGGCGAGGCTGATGTGTCCTTATGAACCTGTGAGATCGGGTCCAAAGGCACCGCCAGAGGCCTTCAGGAGGACGGGTTGGCTCGCACATCTGGAATTTGGGTCAAAATGAAACCACCAGGAAATGGACCACAGGTTTTCGCCCTTTCCATTTATCAGGATTCGGCTTTGGGGTCACCCTATTCTTGACCCACACCCATTTTGCTTACCTCAACCCCATTGGAACTTTAGTATTTGTCCACGCCTTAATTTGGTGCCGAGGCTTCTGGTGGACGAGTGCACCCAGAAGAAGATTACCTGGACTGGTTGATACAGCTGTCTTCCACAGAAAAAGGTCGCCGTGGCAGCCTACGAAGCTACTTGTAGGTTGCGCTTTGCTTCATATGGCTGTGGGTCAAAAATAGGTACCCAAAATGGAACCCTGGTAAATAGAACCAAAGACAAAAATATGCGGTCCCCTGGTGGCTCAATTTTGACCCACACTCATATTGTAGCTTTGTATGGAGGGTCGTCGAGCCTTTCATTGCTAGCATTGGTTCAACAAACTATGTAAGGGATCCTTTTTACAGAGGCATCCAACCTACACTTTGGAGACGCATTGACGGCAATACTATAGAGTAGAATTGAGGCCCCATAGATTTCTCCGAAATCTGGTCGGCGCATCCCAAACCGACGCAGTGGAAGTCTTTCGTTGCAGGCAATAGCTTGTTCTCAAATCATTCATTTGTGGGGCTGGCTGTCGCGCTTGAAGCGTGGGACCCGCAAAAGCTGAATGGCCGCCACGGTCCAAAACAAGGGCAGTCAGGCCATTTGATTCTGGTTTGGAGTGCCTGAGGTGATTGGACGATTTTTGCAAGAACCCAATTTTGGAAGACCGACTAGCCTTGTGCCTCGCCTTCGGACGTTTTGACTTGACCCCTCGCCGGCTTCAGCTTAGTCTTAGGTCACAGGCCGGCCTCTTCGCGTCGGTCGAGATGTCATGTGGGGTTCCTCACAAGCGCTCTCGTCAAGCGGTGCACGACAGACTGGCCTCATGCGCAGGACACATGCGAGGCAGACGCAACATAGAACCTGCTTCCCGCCATTTGAGCTATTCCTTTTCAGCATGTCACCATCAGCATGGAGGAGCAATGCAGACCTGACCACTACATTGACATGCAGCACGATGCCACACATTGATCTAACCTGGTGTAACAAACTCATGCAGGCTACATTGAATAGAATGAGGCATGCCATCTAATCATTTGCAAATATTAGAACATAGATACACGAGTTACACGAGTTGTATGCATACATCTTATATCGTGGGGGTGACGATTCCCCCGTCCCTGGATTCGGATCCGATGCCGTCGCTGCCTTCGCTGCCAGCACGGGGCACGAGGGGCGTGGGCGTGGCCAGCGCACCAGTGCTTCCGTCGCTGCGGGTTGCTCCTGGGCCTTGTGGGTGAAAGCGGATGGCCATAGGGGTCCTTTTTGGTTATTTTGGTAGAAAAATAGATGGCCCTGGCTTACCTGGTGGTTTAATCATCTACCAGGGCCATCTATTTGCCCTAAAAGGACTCCTATGCAGATAGCATTCTTCCACGGTTTGAGGCAGGCAAGTTCAGAACTACTGATGCCTTGTTACGACTTCTCTTTCCTTTGGCTTACCCACAAGGGAATGGTGTCCTCCATATTTGCAACTTGCAACGAATTCCTCTCGCAGGAATCTCCGGCAAAACGGAAGGAAACTCAACAAGGGAGGTCCCAAAGAAGATTCGATTCCTCTGCAAACGGATGGGTTTTTTGGCTCTCCAGCGGTGTATGTCGTGTGGGTGAGAAACCTTTTGGTGATGGTAGTTGTTTGAGGTTGTCAAAGGTCCAAAGGAACGGTATGAAGATACGTTCTCAAACTTGACAGTATGGATTCACATAGAGGACTTACTAAGACTGGCACGTGAGTAGACTTTGTTTGAAGTTGGGGGGTTGTTGAAAGGGAATGCCAAAGCAACACACCCATGTTATGTCTTCCCAAATTTGGAAGCACACCAAGTGCATCACGGTCGACCAAGCGATTTCGTCACCATCCCTCACCATAATGTCTGCTCCGTTCCACGTCGCACGTTGTCAGCATGAGACAACAACTTTGACACTGTTGGTATCTGCAATTTAGTAAGTAGTCAACGGGGGTTCTGAGATTCTTGGGCCCAGGATCAAAAGCAACACACAGGCGCACGCACACACACACACAACCACAAGCACAAAGACGAGGGCAAGGGCAACCAACATTACCAGTGGCTGATTGTTTTGGTGAACTAGAGGAAGCCTTAGGACGCAACTAAGAAGATATTAAAATCAGTTGGTCCAACTTCCACTTGCGATCTTATGATTGGTTGGTGGGTGCACCCGTGTTTCCTAAAGACTGTCGAGCTGGTGATACCAGCCATCTTGGCGCAGGTGCTCCAAGGCTTAGTTTGCCTAGTGAATTGCCTCCTCTTTCCAACAGAAAGTGACGGAAGGCCTTTGCAAGAGGAATGTCGTCTTCCGAAACCCTTCTGTCAGAAAAGAGGACGCAGGACCGGCTGCTGGGTCGTGTGTGTGAATTAAATCTCGTTTGGCTGATAGGAAGCCAATATGTGCACTCATTCGGCACGGTATGACTTCATTGTTTGTGTTCATGCTGACATGCTGCTTTGTGGATGACACGCAGTCTTCTGGTAATCACGCCAATGCCTGAGAATCTGTAGGCAGAGCCATGTCGTGCTTTTTTGCCTCTGTTTATCTATAGACTGAGTCAGGCAAGCACACCCACGTCGGATTGTTGGAGGGCATTCTGCTACTTTACCAGAATTAAGATGCGTTGCCTCAGCTTGCCCTCCGTGGAATTTTGCGCAGGATGTTCTTGACCGCTCCGCTCCATGAGGTGCATCTTTATGAGCACACTCACGACCACCACCACTTTCACTATCCGGTGGACGAGCCGGACTCGGAGGAAGAGGCTCGGGGCGTTGGACCCATTGGAGGCAGCCAGAATTTGGAGCCTGGGGTTTGCAAATGTAAGCTTTACAGTGGCATAAGGCAAGCGGCCGTTGTTTTGGGCCAAGTTTTAGTGGACTATGCCCAGTGCGCATGCTGATGATGTCTTCAACTGGTAGGTTGGCCCATTTTTTCAGCATTTGACTACCAAAGTGGGATGTCATGCGGTACTGCGAGGTGTGAAAGCTCTTCTGGCAAGGGTTTTGTGTTGACTTCTCCCTCAATCAAGCCACGGTTTGGACACCCAACAATCATGGAAGCGGACAGGATGGGTCCCCTAGTTCACTTGTATTGTTGGAAAGAGGATATCAATAGGAGTTGCGCTGAGCGTGGCTTCCACAGCTTCAGGAGCTGTCGCAGCAGACCCTGGAGAGCACTCGACACCCTCGAGATCAGAAGGCGCAGGAGCGGTCAGCAGGCAGATTCGCTGGATTGGGCTTGTTTGGGGAGTTGCAGCACGAGGTGTTGATTCTACCTGTCACTCAAGTATGCATTGACCCTTAAAACGGGCCGCCACTTTGCTGGGTGGCCGAAGAAATTGCGAACATGTCCTGAAAAGCATTCTATCCTTCATGTCATGTTTTTACATGCCCGGACCAGTCTTGATTAGATCAACCAAATTTACCGAAGCTTGTTGTTTGTCGCAAGCAGCGCTCAGGCAGCGTTTTCGTGGGCCTCAACTAATTGACAGATTTGGCGCCCCATGCCCGCTGGCCCTAACACTAAACGACGTGCTTTTCCATTTCTGTGGCGAATCGGCGTACCTCCGGCGCCAGAAGTGCTCCGGAATCACTCCGCGACCGCATCCGTGGGCTGCGCCGACCAAGATGGTTTGCGTGTTTTCCGAAAAGTAGGAACCCAGGCCCACATGTCTCGTCTTTCTGCTTCCAGGTTTGATTTCTTTGCTTCCGAGCACGTTTGGCATGCGAAGATGTATGAGCACCGGCCAGTGCCAACAACTGCTTTGCCCCCCTGCTGGCGCATGGACCGCGTAGAGCTCGCCAGGCCTTGGCGTGGCTTCAACGTCTGTTAGCGTATATCCAACTACAGAGGCGCCGTTTGCGTAGCGGTGGCGCCACGAATTCAGACACAAACTTCAAGCGACGCCTGAATTTTAGCTTCGGCCCGAATAACAATGTTCGGCAAGCGTCAGGCGGATTTCAAGTGTCAGGCCTTGACAGGTGCAAACTTTCAGCGTAAATTTAGGTGTCGTATTTCAGCGTCAGCTGCATTTCAGCTTCGGCCCGATTAAAAGCGTCAGGCCTGTTTTAAGCACCAGGCCCCCCACAGGCGCGAATTTCAGCTTCACAGGTTTAGGCGTCGAGTCTCAGCGTCAGCCGCGCTTTCAGCTGAGCCTGATTCTTAGCCGCGGCCCGAATAAAGGCGTCGGGCCTGTTTTAAGCACCAGGCCCCCCACAGGCGCGAATTTCAGCTTCACAGGTTTAGGCGTCGAGTCTCAGCGTCAGCCGCGCTTTCAGCTGAGCCTGATTCTTAGCCGCGGCCCGAATAAAGGCGTCGGGCCTGTTTTAAGCACCAGGCCCCCCACAGGCGCGAATTTCAGCTTCACAGGTTTAGGCGTCGAGTCTCAGCGTCAGCCGCGCTTTCAGCTGAGCCTGATTCTTAGCCGCGGCCCGAATAAAGGCGTCGGGCCTGTTTTAAGCACCAGGCCCCCCACAGGCGCGAATTTCAGCTTCACAGGTTTAGGCGTCGAGTCTCAGCGTCAGCCGCGCTTTCAGCTGAGCCTGATTCTTAGCCGCGGCCCGAATAAAGGCGTCGGGCCTGTTTTAAGCACCAGGCCCCCCACAGGCGCGAATTTCAGCTTCACAGGTTTAGGCGTCGAGTCTCAGCGTCAGCCGCGCTCAGCTGAGGCGCGATTTCAGGGCTTTCAGGCTTCACAGGTTTAGGCGTCGAGTCTCAGCGTCAGCCGCGCTTTCAGCTGAGCCTGATTCTTGCCGCGGCCCGAATAAGGCGTCGGGCCTGTTTTAAGCACCAGGCCCCCCACAGGCGCGAATTTCAGCTTCACAGGTTTAGGCGTCGAGTCTCAGCGTCAGCCGCGCACCAGCTGAGCCTGATTCTTAGCCCGGCCCGAATCAGCGTCGGGCCTGTTTTAAGCACCAGGCCCCCCACAGGCGCGAATTTCAGCTTCGCAGGTTTAGGCGTCGAGTCTCAGCGTCAGCCGCGCTTTCAGCTGAGCCTGATTCTTAGCCGCGGCCCGAATAAAGGCGTCGGGCCTGTTTTAAGCTGGCCCCCACAAGGCGCGAATTTCAGCTTCACAGGTTTAGGCGTCGAGTCTCAGCGTCAGCCGCGCTTTCA